TCGAGTGAGTTCCGAATATTGTTTCTCGGTCATAGTTAAATTTACAAAGGTAAGACTTCGCTAAAATATTAATCAAATATCAAACTTTTATTTCAATATGGGTTTTTCTGGGAGTGGACTTCTCCTTTAAGATACGCAGTACTTACTTGCAATAATATCCAAGATCAAATGGTTCGAATTTGATTACTATGAAATTGATATCACTCCTGCCTTTACCAATGGTCCATGAGCAGTTTGACGGCCTACTCAAGTAGGTTTCATTAATTAAGATTTCTCCACTGTCTCCATCTACATATACATCACACGCTGCAATCAATGAAAGTAGTGTGTGAATTTACAAAGAATTCTGAATAATCTTCTGTAGTAAAACGAAAAAATCTATTTCTTCTGCCTTTATTGGCTCATGAATTTAAACAATAGATTTGAAAATGTCTTGTTGTTGTTTTAAATAGAAATCTCTCAAAATAACTGCATGGACTTCAAGCTTAAGTGCATGGTTATTTTTGCATTGATTATTTGGCTTCAAATCATATTGAATGAAAAAAAATATTTATGCCTGAGAAAAGTTGTCCTTCGTTTGGAAACCATATATAGTAATCTTACCTTATTTGGAAATAAGTGCTGACTGTTTTTTTACGATTTTCTCGACTTTTAAAGCTTGAAATCCTCCAAAACTTGCAGATATTATAGCGAAAACATTTTTGAACAATCGCCCATTTTTTTTGTTTCCATATATGGAATATATATTTGTTAAAGGAAGCCCAAAAGCAAAATGCATAGGGACCCCGCGCGAATGATATACAATTCTTTGAAATTGATTTGACAAATTGACATAAATTGGGATTATAAAAGCTTGATTGTTCGCAGTACCATTAGACACACCACATTGATACACTCACGACAAAGTCTTACTTGTCGAAAAATAATGGAATGCATATGGTCCTCCTCCTACTGCAGTGTAACCTTGAATCCACACTTGATATTGGTTCAAAGGTGAAAGGTCATTTAAGGCTACTGATATAGCTTTTGTTTTGATTTCTTTTACATATACATAGCTAGCAGTGTTGTAATAATAGCGGTAGAGCTGTACAGAATATCCAAGAAGAAAACCGTGAGTTTCTTTTTGGGGGATTGCCTTCCAGCCAATGACCGCTGAATCTGATGTGATGTCAGTTGAGTAAACTCCTTGAGGACTACTCATTGGATCTTAAAAATAAACGACAACAACAACGAAATAGGATGTTATGAAACATTTATTAAAAAAAGACTTTTTGAATACATTAATTTTGTGTGTAGGATGGACAACGAAAAATAGGAGAAAAAAATAATAAATAGAAGTGGATGAGAAAAGCAACGAAGAAGAAGTATGTGCAGTAAGTAAGAATAGGGACAAGGGAGGATTAGTGGAGCTAGAAGGTCTAGAAAAGTAGACAAGACAGGGGCGTATCCAGGAAAGGGGGGTTCACAGGGTGCCCGTGACCTCCCTTTCAAAGCCAAAATAACGCGAAAACCATAGATTGATATGACATCATATTGCAGACATATGACGTCATAGTGACAATTTGGTATGTAAGGACCCCCTTACTGAAAATCCTGGATACGCCCTTGCAAGAAGTCGAAGACCGAAGACAAGGTCAAGACAAAGAAAATAATTGCATTCGTACTCTGATGAGTAATACTGACAGTGAATGTTAGATGATGTATCTTGAGCTGATTTTATACACCTATTTCAAAAAACGTTGTCGTCGTCAGTACACAGCCCACAGTCTTGAGCCTGCAAAGAATCTCGGGATTGCCATATATATTATATATTCAATTTCAGTTATTCAAAATTCTCCGATTTCGAGTTCTGATTTGCTCTGTGTTAGCTTCAAAACCAAGCAACATATTCTTTTGTTTCATTGATAGCCCGAGAAAACGCATGGAATTTGAAAAGGGAGACAATAGAATTGATAGAATTAATCTTTTATTCTCACAATTAGGAATATTTTGCGAACAAATGAGGCTAACACAGAGCATTGAAGAATTCGAGACTGGATTATTCTCGGTCTCGTAGCGAAAATAGCTTTGAAACTCATTGACGGTTTTTAAAAAAACGTGGAATATTCATTTCAAGGAAAACACTACTAATTTTTCATGGCGGGACTTGTTCGATGTGTTTAACACACGCAATAGTAAATTAGTAGTGTTTGCCGGCATTGAATTCAAAACACAATATATATTAATTACGCATGGAAACCCCGAGATTCTTTGCAGGCTCAAKCCTGTGGACTGTGTCGTGGTGACGACAACGTTTTTTGAAATAGGTGTATATTAGATGCCTTACATGATTCAGGAGTTGTTATAGACGCCATTAAACTCTTGTATGCCGTACAGACGCCGTCCCCATGTTTCTTTAAAATGACTAACACATACACGTTATAGTGAGTGAATCCAATCAGCTCATTAAAACTCACAGATGTTGAAGTGTTTTCTCCATATTTGTAAAATGTTTCGTTTGCCCAATGTTGAGTAGAATTGCAGGATATCAAAAAACCAACAGTATCGTAGCCTGACACAGTAACCCGAGTCCACCTAGCAGTGATTCTGTTGTAGTGCAGGCTCGATAAGGATATGGTCCAATTCTTTAGTGTAAACACTATAACAGATAAATATATATTTCATATATATAAATTGAAGAAAAAGGCACACAACTTTCAACTAGTATTTCTACTCTTTATTAGAACGTTTCGGCACTTCGGCCTTCTTCAGCATATACAGACTTAATATTGAAGAATAATTTTTCATAGTGCTCAACTTAAAAGGAGGAATTTATGCATAAGATATCTAACGGTCCTATGCTGGTAATTTAAAATATTCCAAACAAAAAAAGACTTAGAGTCAACACAGTGTAAAAGAGATCGCGATTCTCAACTGTTCCACATGTTGATAAAAATCATCGCTTTCTAGATGACATTTCATGTGTTATAGAGGGTCTCGTTTACAGTCATTGTTCGGATATGAAAGCCGTATTCTTTGGTGATTCTCTGACTTCACACTCATATAAGTGCACACTTATTAACAAAATAAAACGGTTTTCTAAAACTTTCTGTTGTCGATATCATCTTTTTACCTGGCTCACTGTAGGAAAAGTATCTTGCTCGCATTCCCTTGCCATAGTGCCTATTAATAAGTCGACGTGTTGACGAAGATGAATAGAACTTAATTTGCCCTGCTAAAGTGAGCACTGTAGCAGCCCCATTCTGCAAGACGTTGCGATACTCTCTGCCTGATTCCTGGATGTAGACACTGCTGTAACTAAAAAAACAATCGAAGACAAATATAAGTCACGGTAAGTCCAGGAAAAGGGACATATTACGTACATTTCTCTGTTACATTGGAAGGTAGTGTATGACAATGCAAAGTGGTAGTGTGACATATTAAAACCGAATTAAATTACGCAATTTTTGCCTGCAACCATCGCATCAGCCTGCGTAAGTCATCCTTAAAACATAGCTACAACTGTTTTAGGGCTATTAAGCAATTGTTTTAAATCCCCAGGACACCATAGTTGTAGCCATGTTGTAAGGATAAATTACGCAGGTTGCATGCGATGTTTGTAGGGAAAAATTGTGCCGTCTAATTCGCCCTTCAACGTTGACAAGAACCTCTCTTACGGCTGCCATATATGGTTGTGCATGAACAAGGCAATGATGTACACATATAAGGTTCTCATGTCTCTGTTATATGTGAAGAAGAACTTAGAAAAAAAATTCAAAGACATAAAATTAAATTCAGAATATTTTTTTAAGGAACCGAGTTCGAACCAGCTCTATGCCTCGCGTGAACTCTATATTTTTTGAGTGATCATGATTTTGTTTTTATATTTATGCTACGGCACGATTCATGAATAACTTGGAATGGGAAGAAAGGAAAGTTATGGTGCTTACAAAGGAGGTAATTCCGGGCGAAAGACACTTAAATTCGAAAAACAAACAAAAAAAAATTACGACGTGGCTAGGATTCGAACCCACAACCCTCGGCTTGTACTACCGATGCTCATCAGGTGAGTTCTTCATGAATAACGACGTATATGTAGATAAGATTGAATATATAATTAATAAACCTTCTATAAGAACATGAGAGTCTTCTATATGTACATAAAAGCCATTTATATGGACATCCAAATATGGAAGTAGTATTACGATAGGCTCTAATCGTTGAGATAAGACATAGTATTGCTCTTCGAGGTATGGTGCGGTAAATTACCCTCTGTCAGGCGAATGCCGTTGTAAATCGAGCTCATCAAAATATAGAACCACACGTCCACGTGTCAAATTAGGCATGAATGTCCAGCGGTAATCTGCTTGCATCATGAATGATGGATATCCAGGGCTTGTAATAACACCAGTCATCTCAGTGATATTTTGATGGAAAACTGAAACAATTGCGTTTGTTAAATATATATAAAAAAAATATCAAAATTGAGAACAAAAGTGTTAGATATATTTTTTAAGTAAGCGTCAACCCTTTTTATTGAGTGGTTAATGGTATGGATTAAGTTGAGCTTTTATTTATGATTACTTTTTAAACAAAAAAAGTTTCTCAAAAAAATGATTTTTCAATGTTGAAACTCAGATTTCCTAGTTCTCAGATGTTCAAATTATTATAAATTAATCATATATCATTTGAAAAACCATTGTGTGAAGAGACATCTTTGATTTCTAGTAGTTAACCTGTTGATTACCTGGTGGATGTCCACATACTAGTTCAGCTTGGTAATTTGGGTAGTGCTGGCAGAATGATTGTGGACCGAACCTTTGACAGTCTTCTAGATTGGTTTCCGTCCCATTGCAACGATAACCATCTAGAAAGTGCGCTGGGAGTGACGTCCTTGTGAATGCTCCATAATACAGATAATGAGGAGGACTGGGAAGACCCAATGATCGACACACAACTCTAATAGCGTTGATATCCCACCAATTATCAGCGCAAATCGTTTTCCACGAGGTATCATTAAACACTTCCACTCTTCCCTCATTGGGTAGTTGTCCACCAATTAACCTCAGTTTCTCTTAAAGAAGCATTTTCTTTTTAGTAAGTGACAATATTTACAATAAGGTTATACGCTTTGCTCAAGAGAATCTGTTGTCAAAAAAGCAGCGGTTGTTCTCTTTGAAATCGAAATCATTTTAATATCTCATTGGCTAAATCAACAGACTTAATAATAGTGAAATAAGCCAGGCATCCAATAAAAAGAAAATAATTAGCAATGAACGAAAACGTCCAAGATAATAAAATTCATGCTTACAATATAAATAAAAGCTTATCATGTTACCATTTCTCATGAGACCAGACCACGTAGTGCTTATGATCAAGGGCCTCGTCGTGTTCGTAGAATCGAAAGCAAAGATTTTGAATGTGTATGAAGTATCTGGTTTAAGGTATTCCACTGCAATAGATGTTTCATTTCTATGTTCAATGATGTATAGGAATGGTTCTCTTGTCACGGTGAAGTTATACAACGGTACAACACTATAATTCTTTGATGGCAGTGACGATGGATCCCAACCAATGGTAACTTCACCAGGTTTGGACTGTTTTACAGTAGGTTTCCAGGTCTTTGCACTCAAGCCTTTGAAAAAAATTGGCATACGTCACAAGTTGTAAAATACCTAAACATTAAAAAAGATATGACCAGGTTCACCTTGGCAAGTCCAGTCATTGCCTGATTTCAAACCGTGGGGGACTTGGCAAAATCCCCTTATTGGATAATCATGAGATTTATTCAGAAATATAGACCTTGACGAGAATGCGAAAATTCCAAAATTTGATGTAAATCAATTCAATAGTGAACAAGTTAGAGTCTTTCAAAAATTATAAACGTTTCAAAAAAATGCATGTATGGAAAAAGCCGCGAATGCGTCCGCATTTTGGCCATTTTCCGGACACATTCACTAGATGAAATCCGGCAATGATGAAATAAAACAGTGATACTCCAGATTGTGGCACAAATTAGTGTAGAGACTGTTTTTTTACTGTTCTGCCTAGAAAATGTATTGAGTATGTCTTGCAACAAAGTATCGACGATCATGTAGTTTTTTTGTATATCTCATAACTCGTGCACCCTTTCATATTCTGTTTCATATTTTGAATTGAGTCTAAATTCAAATAATTATAAATTATATATTTACTAACCTGTCAAGTTTTGTGGAATAACATGGAAAGAGAAACGAATTTTTTGGTTGTATTGGTTGCAATACACGTGCCAACGGTACCACCAGTACCAATGACAGTACCAGGGATTTAAGTAATCTACCTCTGAGTAATATCTCACTACTGCTGAGCGATTCTTAATCAGAACTTCAAATGACCGCGCACCGCCACATTCTCTCACTTTATACTCGTGGTTCACATCAGCGACTTCGACGTAAAGCTGTTGATTACTACTGCAGGAAAACGTGAAAATAAAGTAAAGAAACATCTAGATGATCGATAATAAGTTCGTCCAACTGAACAAAATCTACCAATTAAGCCTATAAATTCAGAGCACGAAATTCATAAACTTACTCTTTCTTTGTTGTAACCTTTTCAAGCTAAATTTAATAAATAAGTTTCTAATATATATTTGTTCGCATGAGCTCCGCTATCATAGATGTTTTCTAATTTGTATATTAGTATAAACATACTAATGGTCTATCACTCATACTGCGCTGTGATTGGCTACTTTACTAATGGTCTAATTTGTGATAGACCAATCACGGGAAAATCAAAATAAATGAATTATAAATTATAAATTATTTTCAATTTTTTTTCATTATTTGACCGATTAGTATGTTTATACTAAGACAATTAGACCTCTCGGCCTCGTGGACTACGAGCTAATAGCCCATTCGGCCTCGCGGACTCGGCCTCATGGGCTATTTAACAAATAGATCTCAGTTTTCCGTGCGTGTGTACTCTAATAGATACACAGATGACGTCAAAATGTAGTGAGAACAAAAAAGTACGCACGAGACGCAGTCGAGTGCGTGACTGTTGTTCTCGCTACATTTTGACGTCACCTGTGTTTCTATTAGAGTACACACACACGGAAAAATGAGATCTATCTGTTTTATACAACAAACAATTAGTTTTGACGTAATCCGTGTATGTATACTTTGATAACACACGAAAGCCAACCAATCAAAACGTCTGATTTTAATGAAAAGTTGTATAATTGCTCGTAGTCCACTCGACCTCGAGGTCTAATTGTTAAAGAATATGTTACTTACATGCAGCGATCTCCCAGATCAAATGGTTCGAATTTGATGACTATAAAGCGGATATCACTTCTGTTTTTGCCAATGGTCCATGAGCAGTTTGCCGGCCTATTCAAGTAGGTTTTATCAATCGAGAACTTCCCGCTGTCCCCATTGAGATTAATATTACACGCTGAAGAATAAAGAAAGAAATAAGAATCAGAATAAGTTTACTTCATTGTGGTCGTCGTTCATTATAGCAAACGTTTATGATCTGTATATCACTGGGCCGGATGGGATGTCAGAATATTGTAGGCAGGCAATTACGTAATTCAGTTGCGTCTACACGGCAATTTTTAATGGATTTTATTCCAACTAGATACTTTATAAAATAACACTGTGCACTGTTTATATAGAAACTGATTGTGTACGAAGATTCTCAAAGAAAGAGAATTACTAAGTTAACTCATTCCCTACTGACCCGAAATGTGACAAAAATAGGTATATCTTTAAATATTTTTAATACTCAAAGGTTATTTTTGTACATGCACATATATACATATCATTGTAAAGCTGAATAGATGTACTTTATGATAAAATATTTTGTTTGCTTATATAACTCTAATTAAGTAATTAATTACATCATATGTCTGCATAAATTAGCATAAATTATGCATGAAATTTCATAAAAATTAAGATATACATTTTTCTAATTGAAGGATATCAAAGTGTCCAAAGAAAAAAGTTGCATTGATGTATATGCAAACTTTCTGGGAGTTCTTGATTGAAATGGATGCAAAAAATGAAATTTATGATTTTTTTCCTAAAGGAACTTGAAAATGCATAAAATCGCAAAATTTACTTTCGGCCGCTAAAATCGAATTTATACAGACATAAATAGAGTAAATTGTAATTGTAAACAGTGGGAACATAAGAAAAATCATTTGTCTTGGTGGAACTCCCTGGTATGCCATTCTTTGAAGCAGTTTCGGTCCTTGGTTATATGTAGGAATACCTGACATTGAGGAGCGCTGCAATAAGAAAATACTTGCAAGCTTTTCTTTTCCTTTTTATAGCAAACTTTGCAGTTCCTTTTAACCTCTTGTGAATACATAGGAACATGAACAAGTTCATAATCCCCAACTGGTTTAACTCTAGTATCAGTAGGTGGCAAACCATACTCAGGTAGACCACACAGTTGCCGTAGCAGCTCTTCCCTGTAATCTAAGAGCGAATACCTGGCTGACCGTTGAAGAGCTTCATTATCAGGATTTAGCAACTGGTGTTTCCTAAAAAGAATATAGCTGTTTACAACAGCAATATCAATTACATGAAAAAACAAGGTTTTCCACCACCTCATACATTTTCTCATGACATTATTAGTTGCTAATATTTGATCAGAGCGATCAACCGCATTCATGTAGGCATTGTACCGTTTTATGGTCAGTGGCTGTGGAACAAGAATATTTCTCCAGACATTGTCTGTTTTTGCTTTCCTGGGTACCTGTACTGAGTATTATTGGCATTATCAATAGTGGTTAACATAGAAACTACCTTGTTATCCTTCCATTGTAATGCCAATACCGGACCAACCCTTTCCCACCGCATAACCCCCCTTTCCTTTTTCTTAGCCCACTGTTTCCCATTTTTGAGTGTTTCTGGAAAACCTTTCCTGTTCTCAGATACAGTACCAGTGACTGCTACACCAAGCTGAAAAAGATCTTTTACAAGTTGCATTGATGTATAAAAATTATCTATAAACAAATGATATCCCTGATGAAGCAATGGATCAATTAGTTTCATGACAACATCATAGCCAAGACCATGCTCACTAACATTTCTAGCAGCATCACGACCAATGTATACATCAAAATTGTATGTATACCCATTCACACTGTCTGCTAAAACCCAAAGTTTTATCCCCCATTTGGTTGGTTTGTCCTTTATGTATTGGCGGATCCCAGACCTGTGTCGAGATTTTACCATTCGCTCATCAATTGCAATATGTTGCGAAGGTTGATACAGCTTTGTGCATTTATCTTTGAAATAATCAATAAAAGACTGTACCTTTCTCAACTTCCCAACCCCTTCCGAAGATGAGTCCACAACATGAATCATTGCCATTAGAGCACTAAATCTGTCCCTAGACATAATTGAACGAGCCCAAAGCCCATGATATATGGTTTTGGTACTCCAATAACGATCAAAAGTACTTACTTTGACAAGACCAAAATAAATAAGTAAAGCCATGAGCCTTTTTATCTCACATGCTGTTGTTTCTTGCCAGCTCCCATCTGATTTTGTGTAATATAACTTCTTACCATTAGTTATATGGGAAAATGCATACCCATTGGTGTGAGTTGCTATCTCCTCGACTAATTCATCAGTGATGTATAGCTGAAAAAACTCTAAAGGTGTTGTCATTGTATCCCTAAGAAGAGCATGCTCAAAATGAATGCCAGGTGGACGTTGTGGACTAAACACTGGCAGGATGTTACTAACATCATCATCACTGTAGGTCTTATATACATCAACATTCACTGGCCGGTCCGCACCACGGCCTCTTCCACGGACCCTAACCTGCCCCCTAGCTCGCCCCCTAGCCCGTCCCCTGGCCTGTCCCCTACCCCTTCCCCTACCTCTGCCTCTCACAGGATGATTCCCTTGGCCCCCAACAACTCTGTTTATCATGTCATCTTGATCATTTCCCCCATTATCTTCATCAGAACTTCCGCTTTCATTGTCTTCAAACTGCCCATCTTGTGTTCTGTTTTGATCAGGTAGATCAAAATCTTCAGGAGGAGGGACATCCTCTTCTTCATCATTACTATCAATCCAATAATATAATAACCTCATATATCGATCCTTATATATGTTGCTCACTTCATGTGCCCATAAATTTCATTTCTCACCGTAACGACTATATATATAATCAACAAATATATCGCTTGACCACAAATAATAAGAGATGAAGTGATCCATTCGTAAAAAAATATTTATAAAATGGTTCAAACAAAGTTTTATCAATAAATATCCTCTAAAATACGTAAAAGTTATAAAAAGCCTAAAAATTGTTATTAGAAAGGCTCAAAACATAGCAAAACATAGAATATTCGCGGCAATTCCTTCGACTCAAAGTGCTTATCAGGCCACGCGGTTCGATCAAATTACATCACGGCAAATATCTCTCAATTTGTCCTTTTTTCTTATTTCTAAACAAACAAATAGCCTTTACAATATAAAGATGCCTTTTCAAAAGTAATTTTTGCCATTGTGAGAAGGTATTGTCTGGATTATGTAAATTGCCCAATGTTTTTTTCTGTCTTCTTTCAAGCACATCGAAGATGTAACACGTGTTTATAAAACTCACCTTGATTCTTCATCAAAATTCTGTAGTTTACGGTCAATTTCAGACTCCTCGCCACTCGTTAATCCTCCAGAATCACTATCTGAATAATATTCGTCGTCTGTCTCTTGTACAAAAGCAATGACTTCATCTAAAGTGAAGGTTGAAGATGATCGCGATCTCTTCGCGTTGGACGCCATCTTCAATTGACCCTTCGCTCACGTAACTAAGCAACCGCTAATGTTATTCTTATAAAACTTGTGATTCGCTGCTTCAAGGTTATAAAACACGACTGCTGATTGGATATATATATATTAACAAGCTACTGGATGATTTTTAGACAATTCTGATGTAATGTCGCGACAAAAACAATGATTTACGTCATCACTCCTGCAGGAGTGATATTTAAAGGGACCGTAGGGAATGAGTTAAGGGGCGAGTGAAATACTACCGGGAATTTTATATTATTAGATAATAGGTCACGGATTTTTGCCGTGCAAGCTACTTCATCGCCGCCATATTGGTTGAAAATCATAAAGCATTAATTTCTCTTGTTCATTCATCCATTATTTCTCAGGGAATTTTTGATCAATTGGTTTTACATCAAGAATACGGGATTCAGTTTTCACCATAGCTGCTGATATATAACATTAGCGGTCAATTGCTCCATTTCATGATGAAGTCACCACGATGCTTTTAAAGAAACAGTAGAAATTTTGATCCATTTATACTGTCTACTAAAGTAGAACTTCATTAAATCGTGTTTTGATATATATCATGTATAAATGTTTGCTCATGTACAATTTATTTAATACGCAGTCACTCTGATCCCTGCTGGCGAACATGATCCTTAGCGTTAAAAGAAAAGATTTTTTTGACGTCATAATGAACTGGGGCAATTCACATACAACCAACAGAGCGATTCGATCTCTGCGCAAAATACACCTTTCAAGTGATTGACTTCGAATTGAAACTTTTATAGTATGTTGCTACTTATAGGTTAGTAAAGCCAAAAAATAAAAAATAAAAATTGAATCATTCGTGAAGTTTTAAATTAGTTACGCGGCTGTTAGAAAACTTGAAAATAGCTCAGAAATAGAAATGAGTGCTGTTTTTTTGCCTAATATAAACTAACGTTGGTTTCGCAATTATTGGTCACGGCGATGGCTTCTTTTTATAATAAGACTACCATTAAGAACAAGGAATTTCAATTTTCTCGTATACGTTCGCATTCATACGATCCTGAAACTTTCAGGATCTTCTCCAGTGTATGTCTACTCAAAGTCTTTCCAAGTCTTTCTAAGTTTTGTGCACTCTAAAATATTTCTTGAAAAATAAATTCGATTCCTCAAAAAAAAAGTTTTATTTGAATCTTTCACATTTCTTCATGACTTTTGGTAAACTACAAACAAGTCGCCCAATTAACTAACTAACTAACTAACTAGCTACATGCATGCGTTTCATAATAGGGCCTTACCTTCAATAGCTGTTGGCCACAGTCCTAGTCCTAGCAAGGTAGATACCAAAAGCCAATACATCTTTGGTGATAGAAAGGCTTCTCATTTAGCCTGTGAGGACTGAAATAATTCCAGTCGTCTTGTCCTTGTTATTGAGACGCGGAAGTAAATATATCTTATGATGCATATTAGAAATGCCAAATAAGGATTGTTTTTCATTCTCAATACAAAAGACTAAATACCAAGAACAGCGGTAGGGAAGATTTTACAAAGAATTGTTTGTTTTTTACTTTATGCAAGAAAACACAGCGACTAATCAATGCATATACTTGTACCTATGACTGTACTGTTCAACTTAAAATTGAGATTAGCACTTCCAAAAAGCACTTTCGAAAAGCATCTTGCCATTCCTTGTCGTCAGTTTCCTGGTATCTCGGTTGATTCGTGTTATTTACAAGTCGGATTTTGGTGCTAGAATCATTTTTTCTGTCCAAGAATCCTGCTCTTCCTATATTTCCTGGATGAAACATTGATTCAAAGTCGTTTAATACTACTTTAAAGATAATTTAAGATTTTCACTCATTAAAAATATGAAAACTCAAATTCTTAAATTCAAAGAAGCCGTGAATTATGTTTACAACTAAATAATCAGTCGTGCAGAAATATATTTTTAATTAAGTTGTTTTTTTACCAACTTTTCTGCAAAGATTTTGTCTTTTGCACTTCAGATAATTCCTTACCATAATGAAGTTCTTGAACATAATGAAATATTAACACTTTGATTTATATTTTATATAAAGATGGAGTGTAGCTTTTTTTCATAGTGTGCCAGCAATCTGAGCCACGACCTCGCAGTGTCTATGGTTGACTGAAGCTTCTAGAATTATAAACACCAAAACGCTATTATATTAATATATTTGGTTAAAACGTTGAAATAATATATTAAACGTCTTCTATTTGCTGACTGGAAAACAAAACTAGAGACTTATATGAAGGATATAAAGGAATTTTCAAAACAGTTGTTGATACAATTGAAATATCTATCTAACACTATTCGGTCTCAAATTTGTAATGACGTCATTACTAAATG